CATTGATTCATTGCTTTCAGCTGTATGATTCCCAATTTGTTCTGTGTTAGTGTCCTCTGCACTTGTTATGGGGGGGGCTTGGGTTCTGATATTGCATTTTGCTCCTTCTCATTGTCATTTTCTGTAGCACTGTCTTCTGACCTTTGTTGTAGAGCTTTGGTACAGTTATAACCTTAGCACCTACTGAAGTTCAGGTGCAGATCTACAAAGTTTGGATATATTCAGATGTACCTGGCTTGGGTCTGGCTGCTGTGCTCAGCTCCTTCCTGCTGCTGCCCTTGTGATGGAACCTGTTGTGCCCCTCTGGCAAGATGTTCTGCTTCTGGACTAGGTGGGTGGTTCTCTCCCCTACTCTTTCTGCAGGGATTGCAGTGGCAGGGTTTTACTTCAGGCCTGTATGCCAGGCCTGAGCTGAGTCTGGAGGGGACAAGTTGAAGTAGGGAGGAGAGGCAGCTCTCCCACACACCCACCAGGCCTGGGGTAGGACTGGATCTGGGAGATCCCAGGATGTGGCAGAAATTCCTACTCGGCAGGCGGGTTGGGGGTATGCTGTGAAGTGGTGGTGGGGTGTCCCAAGGGAGTGGAAGAGGGTCTCACCCACGCTGCACCTGGGCTGGGACTGGCAGGTCCCGCCAGCGCAGGGTAGCCAGAAGCTCTCCCACACACTCACCAAGCTTGGGCTCAAGTATTTTTCTCATAAACGTACATTAGATGGCTTCACTTAAATTAATACCAAAGATACCAAGGCTCATGCCGCATGTAGTGCAGGTCTCAAAGTTCAGGGTGGAGGATGGAGAAATAGTCGGAATAGAGAAAGCCGGGGTCAGGTGGAGCCCTCTCTCTAGATGGGAGGAGGAACCCCTCAACCACCACAGTGCATCCGGCAGGTTGATGTTATGTGGCACCCCTTGCCCAGCAACCTGCCTGCATGGTAGCCTAGGACAGCAGGCCTTCTGAGACTGGTGCAGCTTGTTCGCGTGGCTCATCTTGGGTGCTCTGTCCTCTCAAGCTGGCCTGGCCTAAGCCCATATGTGTGATTGACCTCCAAATTTAC